CTTTCGTATATTAAATACATCTTCAGAAGGTGAAGATGTATTTAATACACGAAAGTACTTAAGGAAATTCCTGTTTCATTTTTCCTCCATGGTCTGACATTGTCACATTCTTAATCACGTGCTTATTTTCGTGATATACACACATATATATATATATGTCGTACCTAGTAGCCAGAACGCACTTCTCAGCCTACTATGCAAGGCCCGATTTGCCTAATAAGCCAAGTTTCCATGAATTAATGTTTTTTCGACTACCTAACCTACCTAACCTAACCTAACCTAACCTAACATTTTCAGCTACCTAACCTAACCTAACCTATAACGATAGGTTAGGTTAGGTTAGGTAGGGTTGGTTAGGTTCGGTCATATATCTACGTCAATTTTAACTCCAATAAAAAAAATTGACCTCATACATAATGAAATGGGTAGCTTTATCATTTCATAAGAAAAAAATAGAGAAAATATATTAATTCATGAAAACTTGGCTTATTAGGCAAATCGGGCCTTGCATAGTAGGCCTAGAAGTGCGTTCTGGCTACTAGGTACGACATATATATATATTTCTATATATATATATATATATATATATATATATATATATATATATATATATATATATATATATATATATATATATGTCGTACCTAGTACCAGAACGCACTTCTCAGCCTACTATGCAAGGCCCGATTTGCCTAAGAAGCCAAGTTTTCCTGAATTAATATATTTCTCATTTATTTTTATATATATATATATATATATATATATATATATATATATATATATGTCGTACCTAGTAGCCAGAACGCACTTCTCAGCCTACTATGCAAGGCCCGATTTGCCTAATAAGCCAAGTTTTCCTGAATTAATATATTTACTACAATTTTTTTCTTATGAAATGATAAAGCAACCCTTTTCTCTATGTATGAGGTCAATTTTTTTTATATTGGAGTTAAAATTAATGTAGATATATGACCAAACCTAACCAATACCTAACCTAACCTACCTATATTTATAGGTAAGGTTAGGTTAGGTAGCACAAAAAGCTAGGTTAGGTTAGGTTAGGTAGGTTAGGTAGACGAAAAAACATTCTCATGAAACTTGGCTTATTAGGCAAATCGGGCCTTGATAGTAGGCTGAGAAGTGCGTTCTGGCTATTAGTTACGACATATATATATATATATATATATATATTTTATATATATATATATATATATATATATATATATATATATATATATATATATATATATATATATATATATATATATATATATATATATATATGTCGTACATAGTAGCCAGAACGCACTTCTCAGCCTACTATGCATGGCCCGATTTGCCTAATAAGCCAAGTTTTCCTGAATTAATATATTTTCTCATTTTTTTTCTTATGAAATGATAAAGCTACCCATTTCATTATGTATGAGGTCAATTTTTTTTTATTGGAGTTAAAATTAACGTAGATATATGACAACCTAACCATCCCTACTTAACCTAACGTAACCTATCTTTATAGGTTAGGTTAGGTTAGATAGCCGAAAAAGTTAAGGTAGGTTAGGTTAGGTAGGTTAGGTAGTCGAAAAAAACATTAATTCATGAAAACTTGGCTTATTAGGCAAATCGGGCCTTGCATAGTAGGCTGAGATGTGCGTTCTGGCTACTAGGTACGACATATATATATATATATATATATATATATATATATATATATATATATATATTATATATATATATATATATATATATATATATATATATATATATATATATATATATATTAGTATATTTTGGTAGCAGTCTTTCCTGTAGACATATATTATTAAATATGACCGAAAAAGTAAGATTAATAATTCTAACACGAATTTGCTGAATCTTTCGTACATTACGCTTCACTGTTGTAGGTAAATCAAAAATCAATTCTCCAAAATTCATTTTTATTTCTAGTCTGACGCGACACGGGCGCGTTTCGTAAAACTTATTACATTTTCAAAGACTTTAGTTCACAAATACACAACTGAATAGAACTTACGTATCTCCGATTTTATATCTACATTTGAGTGAGGTGGAAGGGGTGATGTGGCATTAACACAAGACAGAACAAAATGTGGTATTAATAGGGTATTAATTTCATCAACACAAGGCAGAACAAGAGTATTAATAGGGTATTAATTTCATCAACACAAGACAGAACACGAAACAATGGATATTGAATAAAAGTGTTTGTAGAAAGCCTATTGGTCCATATTTCTTGATGCTTCTATATTGGAGCGGAGTCTTGAGGTGGGTAGAATATAGTTGTGCAATAATTGGCTGTTGATTGCTGGTGTTGACTTCTTGATGTGTAGTGCCTCGCAAACGTCAAACGATAGCAGGCGGCTTGACGTTTGCGAGGCACTACACATCAAGAAGTCAACACCAGCAATCAACAGCCAATTATTGCACAACTATATTCTACCCACCTCAAGACTCCGCTCCAATATAGAAGCATCAAGAAATATGGACCAATAGGCTTTCTACAAACACTTCTATTCAATATCCATTGTTTCGTGTTCTGTCTTGTGTTGATGAAATTAATACCCTATTAATACCACATTTTGTTCTGTCTTGTGTTAATGCCACATTACCCCTTCCACCTCACTCAAATGTAGATATAAAATCGGAGATACGTAAGTTCTATTCAGTTGTGTATTTGTGAACTAAAGTCTTTGAAAATGTAATAAGTTTTACGAAACGCGCCCGTGTCGCTTCAGACTAGAAATAAAAATGAATTTTGGAGAATTGATTTTTGATTTACCTCCAACAGTGAAGCGTAATGTACGAAAGATTGAGAAAATTCGTGTTAGAATTATTAATCTTACTTTTTCGGTCATATTTTAATATATATATATATATATATATATATATATATATATATATATATATATATATATATATATATATATATATATATATATATATATATATATATATATTCACATATCTCCATTTTATACGCATATTCATATGTTACTCAGCTGGCGCAGTCATTTGAATACTGAATTAGTAAACATGAATACAAGCAATACTTTTTTAATCAAGTCACATTTTTAATAGCCAAACTGGTCTGCCGACGAAGGTTTTTCTGGCATAACATTTCAGACAACAAGAATAATTATGGGAAAAGGTTCATAATTTTATTTTATTTTATATTCTCCTTTGCATTATAAAGTTAGAGGAATGAAGGAATTTTTTGAAGATTTTGAAAAAATTACAGGATAATTAAATCTTCGATAAAAGGTTAGCAAAATAATATTTTTAAACAAAATATTTTTTCCTTCAACTTACACTCTTTCTTATTGCACAAATAATTTTCTCGTGCCCGGTAAAATATTGCGTAGCCTAGAGTTGTTGCGCAAGTTTCCAGTGCAAGTTCATGGTGGTGAAGACTGCCGCCTCGCTGCATTATATATATATATATATATATATATATATATATATATATATATATATATATATATTATATATATATATATATATATATATATATATATATATATATATATATATAAACCTATAATGAAATTGGCATTTGCCTTGTGGATCACCACACTGCTGTGCTGGAAAGGGAAGCTGACCGCTCTAGGGTCTCTTCTAGCTTACCTTTGAATCCACATCCCTGAAAAGGCCTCTGAATCGTTCTCTACCTGGGCCAGGGGTCACAGGTCCCAGAGGGACACAAATGCGGTCAGTTGTCACGGTAGTGTGAATATCTGCCTGGGTGCACTGGCATGTATTGTCCCTCGCTATCTGCCTATCGTTCTTTCTCGGACCGTTCCTTGGGACCAGATGCAATTGCAAGGGACGTTACTAGTTCCAGGGGTAACAAAGAAGCAAGATGGAGTGAACAATAACGGTCCTAAGAGGGTGTGCAACACACAGAGACGGACTCCCTTCTTTTCTTAAGCTAGCAATATCGGAACTTCAATAACGTATTATTTACAGATTGGTATTTTTAACAGGAGTTCATTAATAAAGACTCTGTAACTGTTTCAAATAAGATTTACGCATTACTCGAGCAACAGACGAACATTAGGATATGAGGTAGTCAACGGAAGTATAGTACACAGAAGTAGTCAACAGGAGTAGGCAACAGAAGTAATCAACAGGAGTAGGCAACAGGAGTAGGAAACAGAAGTAATCAACAGGAGTAGGCAACAAATGAGGTCAACCTAAATATTCAATAGGAGTAGACCACATGATTACTCAATAGAATTGGTTTATATGAGGAATTAACACATGTTATAAATAAGTACAGACAACAGAAGTAGGAAACAGAAGTATTCAACAAAAGCATTTAACAAAAACATTTATAGGTATTGTTAACAGTAGTAGTCAACAGGAGAAGTGAACAAGAGTAGACGACAGGAGTAGTCAACAGTAGTCACCAAAAGTAGTCGACAGGATTAATCAATAATAGTAGTGAACAACAATAGTCACCATTAATCAATACGAAACTGTAATGAACAACAGAGAGAGCACTAGAACTGCCATATAATGTATAAAAAACAGCAAGACACATTATCAATATAAACCTATGAAGACGAGTGATTGCAAAGCTATTCACTGAAAATTGGGTAAATGCGCTGAGACTCGGGAAAGGAAATAGCAAATAGGAATAGAAAGTGAAAAAGGCGTTCCTCCTGCCGTGCATGTTATTCATTAAACCTGGAAATACTGTTCCAGATCTTCTTCTCGCGACTCCCACCTCCATGTCGACTATTTATAAAATTCTGAAATTTATTGGAGCAGGAGCCTGGCAAATGAGCTCTACTGTGCATCAGCGTAATTAATATTCCCCTTGTGTTATTTTCTTCCTCGCGTATCTTACAGGAGGGGGAAAATACGCCCCCGTTTATATTAGAGTAGAATTACACACAAAATTGTTCTTTGGCTACTAAAAGTCCCCACAATTTCCATTCATTTGATACAAATTAATGCTCGTTTTCTCTTTTTTTCAGGTGGAGAAAATGAAGGGACGAAGGTCAGGATAGGACTGAGATGATTCGAGCTGGCGGCGACGTCTGAACCAGACCGCCTGGAATTGGATTTACTTTCCGAGATCAACTTCTCCTTCGTCGAGAACTTCATCAATTGTGATCTAAACAAACGATATCCAGTGTTACTGGTCGTATCCAATAAGTCTTCCAAGACTTACTGAACCTGTGAAAAATGAAGGAACCCAAAGAAGACAAGTATCATTTGTTTTGGTTTGTTTCCCTGACAACCACCACGACATTGAGAGGAAGTGCTCGGCACTCTCCACTTTCCTTCGTTGCCCTGGTAATGGTTCTCCTGGCACTCTTGGCCCTCTTGGCACCCCACGTCGAGGCTCAGAGCGCCACCAAGGTGTCGGAGACTCACGGGATAAACTTCCACCACAAGCGAGATCACTGGTACGGTGAACTGAAAGATCAGCCACAGTTAAGAATTGAGTCGAGTGTCCGAACGATTCCCAGTCAAACGTCGGGGTGGAAAAACGACGCCAAAGGTCCTTACGGCGGGTCTTACGCCAACCCCAAGTGGCAGGAGACCGTCAGAACCACCCATAACTCCCTCCCGAAGACGGCTTCAGAGCACGAACAGGAGGAGGAGGAAGAAGAGGAAGAGGACCCGACAGACCGGCAAAAGCGAACGGAAGCGGAGCAGTCAGTAGCGAGCAGCTGGCAAGGCAGCTCTCGCCTCACCCTGAAGGAGGGGGGCTACGAGGGTCTGGTGGTTGATGTCAGCAATAAGGTGCCACAAGATGACTGCCGCACCGTCATCGATGGCTTACAGGTGAGTTCCAGCTCGGTGCCCAGGTATTGACCAGGTACTCGTCTAACAGGTATTGACCAGGTACTCGTCTAACAGGTATTGACCAGGTACTCGTCTAACAGGTATTGACCAGGTACTCGTCTAACAGGTATTGACCAGGTACTCGTCTAACAGGTATTGACCAGGTACTCGTCTAACAGGTATTGACCAGGTACTCGTCTAACAGGTATTGACCAGGTACTCGTCTAACAGGTATTGACCACAATCATTACTCGGGTATTGACGTGTGTCCAGATTCATCATATGGTTATCAGTCAACGCACTGACTCCTCGTTCAGGAATTGACCAGTTTTCAGGCTCATCACTCAAGTTTTGACCGGTGTGCAGGTTCATCATTAAGGTACTAACCAGAGTCCAGACTCATCACTCAGGTATTAATTAGTGTAAAAACTCATCTGTCAGTACTTTACCCATGTGCACACGCGCCGCTCAAATATTTACCTGTGCCCAAACTCATCGCTCTAGATTTGATAATTGTCCAGACTCATCACTTGGGCATTGACTATTGTCCAGACTCATCACCTGGGCACTGACTATTTTCCAGACTCATCACCTGGGCATTGACCATTGTCCAGACTCATCACTTGGGCATTGACCATTGTCCAGACTCATCACTTGTGCATTGACCATTGTCCAGACTCATCACCTGGGCATTGACCATTGTCCAGGCTCATCACCTGGGCATTGACCATTGTCCAGACTCATCACTTGGACATTGACCATTGTCCAGACTCATCACCCCGATATTGACCAGTATCCAAACTCATCAGTAAATGAATTGACCGGTGTCCAGACTCGTCACCCCGGTAATGACCGGTGTCCGGACAATAGCTTAGTTCCCCATACTTCCTCTATATTTTCTTCATTCCACGCCATTGATCTCTCCCCGAAATAAAACAAGAAAAAAATCTTGAATGTGAAAAATAATTATTCAATATATATGTAAAACGCGTTATAAACCGGCCAGCATGAATGCATCAACAATTTTTGTAGACGTCAAAAACTAATATCAACTCAAGTTCATAATAAAAAGGATAAAAAGACCAAAAAAAAGGAGTGTAAAAGATAAGGCAAAAGATGAAACTTGCCTAATTAACTTTACCAACCATGTCTGGAAGGAGTCATTTTCTTAATTAAATAGGCAAGATAATGAACTCGGAGAGGTGGGTAGCATATCAACTTTTATTTCAGTTAAATTTAACTTAAAGATGCAGGAAGCCTTAAGAACAGCCGCCGCTTCCTTATTGGCCGGGTCGTGGAAGGAAGGCGGAGCCAAGCTCCGCATTGACCAATCACAGAGCAGGATTATAAGAGCTATTCTGTAATTCTTTAATGCTGTTAAAAAAACAAAAAGAATGTCCATATGTAATGAAATAAATCCACTCCAAAGGCTGCCGAGCAAAAACAATTCTCCAACTCTCAGTCTGAGAAATTCCCGAGAGATAAATAAACAAACGAAATGAATAAGAGAAGAAAAAAAAAAGATGAGAGATAAAGAAACGTAAATATTTGCGTTTCATTAACCTTCGTACATTACGCAAAGGAAACCCTTTTTTAGGTAATACTATAAAAATTTTCCTCTAAATATCACTCATTCCTAGTTTTAAACCATTCTCGTACGACCTAAACATCCATACACGTTACAATCTTTTTCCTAAAAAGGAGAGAATGGGAGATGTAGAAGGGGAAAGTTGACGAGAGAGAGAGAGGGAGGGGGAAAGAGAGAAAGTGTGGGTTGTGCAGTTCCCATCATTTTCCAAGTTGGGCTCAATCTTCAAGTTTCTCACAGAACTTAAGGGAGACAGATTGCTAGGTGTTCTCAACTTTCCACCCCTGCAATCAACTCAAACAGGTAAATTAATGTTTCTTGCTCCCATCTGTCTTTGTTTTTCAAGGAAATCCGATGTGCACGTGAGGCTAGGTGCGTGCGAAACGTGCGTGCGCGTTGTCGCGCGTGCATGTGATGCGTGCGTGAGTGTCATGAGTCCAAGTGAGCGTGATGAGTGCGTTTGAGTGTAATCAGGATGAGTATATGTTTGAGTATAATGCGTGTGTATGTGAGTGTGAAGTATGTGCGATTATGATGGTGTGCATGAGTGTGAAGCGTGCGTGAGTGCGACGCGTGCGTGTGATGGTGATGCGTGCAAACATCGTGCGTAATTTGTGTGATGTGTGTGGAAGTGTGATGTACTCACCTAGTTGTGCTTGTGGGGGTTGAGATTTGGCTCTTTGGTCCCGCCTATTAACAGTCAATCAACTGGTATACAGATTCCTGAGCCTACTGGGCTCTATCATATCAACATTTGAAACTGTGTATGGAGTCAGCCTCCACCACATCACTGCAAAATGCGTTCCATTTGTTAACTACTCTGACACTGACAAAATTCTTTCTAATTTCGCTGTGGTTCATTTGGAGTACTAAGTTTCCGCTGAGTCCCCTTGTTCGTGTTCCACCCGTGCTAAAGAGTTTGTCTTTATCCCTCCTGTCAATTCCCCTGAGAATTTTGTAGGTGGTTATCATGTCTCTCCTTAGTCGTCTGTCTTCCAGAGACGTGAGGTTTAGCTCCCGTAGCCTTTCCTCGTAGTTTATACCTCTCGGTTCAGGGACTAGTCTGGTGACATACCTCTGAATTTTCTCTAACATTGCCTTGTGTTTAACTAATATTGGACTCCTGACTGGAGCTGCATACTCAATGATTGGACTGACATAAGTGTTGTACAAGGTCCTGAACGATTCCTTACACAAGAATCTAAAGGCAGTTCTTATGGTGGCCAATATAGCATATGCCGCAGATGATATCCCTTCAATATGGTTTTCTGGGGACAGGTTCGACAACCTGTCATAATCAACCTCCAGATCATTCAATTTGACTCTTGCAGGATTTCACCTTCCAAATGGTACCTTGTGTTCAGCCTTCTTCTCCCTTCGCCTAATTTCATTACTTTACACATTCCTTAGTTAAACTTAAGTAGCCATTTTCTAGTCCATTCACATAGGTTGTTCAGGTCTTCTTGTGGTCTGTCTATATTCATTTGTTTTGATTCTTCTGATAATTTTTGCATCATTAGCAAACATTGAGAGGAATGAGTCTATTCCCTATGAAAAGTCGTTTACATGAATCAGAAACAGTATGGGTTCAAGTACAGAGCGCTGTGGAACACCGCTTGTAACATTTCGCCGTTCTGATGTCTCTCCTCTAACAGTTACTCGCTGTTTCCTGTTGCTTAGATACTCCCTTATCCACTGGAGCTCCTTACTTTTCACTCCTGCCTGCTGCTCCAACTTTTGTAACAACCTTTTATGGGGTACTGTGTCAAAGGCACAATGTGCCTGGGTACACAGGGGAACACGCTGGGGGACTGTGTGTGTGTATGTACTCACGTAATTGTACTCACCAAGTTGTGCTTGCGAGGGTTGAGCTCTGGCTCTATGGTCCCGCCTCTCAACTGTCAATCAACTGATGTATAGATTCCTGAGCCTACTGGGCTCTATCATATCAACATTTGAAACTGTATATGGTGTTAGCTTCCACCACATCACTGCCTAATGCATTCCATCTGTTAACTAATCTGACACTGAAAAAGTTCTTTCTAACGTCTCTGTGGCTCATTTGGGTACTCAGTTTCCATCTGTGTCCCCTTGTTCGTGTATCACCAGTGTTAAACAGTTTATCTTTATCTACAGTTTCAATTCCTCTGAGAATTTTGTAGGTAGTGATCATGTCTCCCCTTACTTTTCTGTGTGTGAGTGTCAGCCACAGTCAACCCACATCCCAGACTCACAGTCAACCCACATCCCAGACTCACAGTCAACCCACATCCCAGACTAACAGTCAACCCACATCCCAGACTAACAGTCAACCCACATCCCAGACTCACAGTCAACCCACATCCCAGACTCACAGTCAACCCACATCCCAGACTCACAGTCAACCCACATCCCAGACTCACAGTCAACCCACATCCCAGACTCACAGTCAACCCACATCCCAGATTCACAGTCAACCCACATCCCAGACTAACAGTCAACCCACATCCCAGACTAACAGTCAACCCACATCCCAGACTCACAGTCAACCCACAATCCCGGCTCACATTCAGCGCACATTCAGACGGCACAATACAGACCCAGATGTCAGGGGAGGACACTTTGAGCGTTGCACTAGGCGTTAAGCTCCCTTAAATGAGCGCGGCTGAGGCTGGAATTCCATATATGCTGTCATGAACACGCCGAGAGAGATGACTGCTCTCTAACCTTTACGTGTTGAGGAAAGGGAAATGCTGACTGTTTTGAGGCATTAAACAACGACTTGCAGCAATTTCTTCCTTGGATAAAAGTTGAATTTAAGCTAGAGAAACCACAGTCAATGTTTATGTAGCCCGGTCTCCTCTATAGTACCTTGCATTTTTATGTATAATTTCCCGAAGTTCAAAAAACTAATGTCCAATGGATAAGGGAGTACCTAAGCAACCGAAGACAGCGAGTCGCTGGAAGGGACGAGGTCTCAGAGTGACGAGACGTCACCAGTGGAGTCCCGCAGGGTTCAGTCCATGGACCTTTACTGTTTCTGATATATGTAAATGATCTCCCAGTGGTTATAGAATCGTTCCTCTCATTGTTTGCTGATGATGCCAAAATTATGAGGAGGATTGAAACAGATGATGATAGTAGAAGGCTACAAGATGACCTACCCGGGCTGAATGAATGGTCCAACAAATGGCTACGAAAGTTCAACCCGAGTAAATGCAAGGTCATGAAACTACCCTTCAGGAACCTGTGTAAGGAATCATTCAGAACCTTGTACACAGCATATGTAAGACCAATCCTGGAGTATGCGGCCCCAGCATGGAGCCCGTACCTTGTCAAGCACAAGACGAAGCTGGAAAAGGTTCAGAGGTATGGTACTAGGTTAGTCCCAGAACTAAGAGGCAAAAGTTACGAGGAAAGGCTGCGTGAAATG